ACGGAGGCCCCTCAGATGACTCGACAAGATCACGATCACGACATCGCGGGACCTCCCCCTCCAGGGCCAGCGGGGACAGCTCCTACCAGAGTCACCTCCCTCCTACGGCCCCCTCTGACACCTGCAAAAACACTCTCTGCACAGCCAAAAATGCTCCTGCCCACCTGTCATGTGTGGCTGGAGCACCGGTGCAGTTGGTGCTCTGCCTGCAAGACGAACCGCAGTTATTGGGGGTCTTCTTAGGGGGTTCCAAGTTGTGCACTTCCATCTGCCCGCCAGCTTTCGTTGTCAAACTTGGCGATACACCCTCTCTGCATGCCCTTGTCAGTGACAGCAACCGCGGTGATGGGCCAACATGGCTGCCTCAGCTACGAGACATCAATGATCGTTCTCCAACACGCTGGCAGCCGCCTGATTTGACGATTGCTGCCCCTGAGTTTATTGAAAATCCGCCTGCACTGGCCCCCCTGCGAGCCCTTTTTGTTGTTCTCTGTGAAGACTACCGGCCTGAGGTCATCCCGCTTACCTTCTGGCAACCGGTTGACTACTTCCTTGCCATTAGGGAAGTGCAGACATTACGCCTTCCAGATGTCAGGCGTCACTTCCCGCGTCTGCTCGCTATTGAGCCACAGCCCTGCGCGCATTTTGCCGTTCTGCTTGGGTTCACAGGGTTGCCCGGCCCTTTCTGCGATATTGTCTTCGACTGCAGAGCTGTGGCAGGCTATGTTTTCGCCGGGCATGCTGACTCTGAGGCACATCGAAGCGAGCTCCTAGCAATCGCTGGCTATGCCCACCGGTTTGATATAGACGTTTGGGTCCCTTCTGTGCGCGGCCCTCTGCCAGATCACCAGCGCGCAGGGCTCTTTACAGGCTCTTTGGTATCGTTGGCACCGCGCGGCATTGTCCCCCCACGCCTTGCACCTCTGGCCGATATGCTACGGAGACCCGACATGTGGAATGCCCGTGCTGAGGTCCCTTTTGCATCAGACCCTGGAGTTTGGTTGTTGACGGACGAAGGGCCCTCCTTCTATGCGATCCCCATAGGTGCCGCGCGCATTCCAAGGACCCAGCTTGCCGCCGCACTTAGATATGATAGAGCGCGCCTTTTCACTGTCCCGCCTAGCCCGCAGATACGGAACTTTTGCTCCAGGGGCACTGCTGCTTCCGCCGTTCTTGTGGTCTCTCAGAGGATCCTTCAGCCCCTTGATGCTGAGCCTAGCTCTTGTATCGTCATTGTGGATCTACGGCCACTGCAGCTGGGCCTGACCTGGGTGCTGGCGCCAAGAGGGCTTTTCTCCCTCGAAAATTTTGCGGAGGACCTCGACTACCCTTGTCCCAGAGGCTTCCAGCTGATCGCGGATGGTGCTCCGCGTATCTTTTCCAGGCCCGGATGTGTACTAAGAGTTGTCGATGGCTCCCGTGTCACCGTTGCCTGCGTACCAATCCCGCCAGGGACCGCAACACAGGCACACAGGTTTGCGCATTCTGACAGGTCAGAGACCGACTCAGAAGAGTACTCCGATGGCATCTGGGAGAGCAGTTCCGGCAGCAGCCAGGCCAGCTATAACGGGGGGGACGAAAACCCGCCTGCTGGCCCTCCCCCACCCGGACCCCACGAGCCGCCCCATGACCCACTCGATGTGCTAACAGCCCTTGTGTTGTCCCCTGCACTTCGAGCTGCGTCCCCTTGTGGACTTCTGTGTGTCATGCTGTATGCTTCCCCTGTGCTGACTGCGAGTGTGGCTTTGCCCACCGATGATGCCACAGCCCGCGATGCCGGTCCATTGTTCCGTGCCGACACATGTGCCTGTTTGCTGCATCATTTTCTCGTCGCCAGCCTGCCTGTGATCCTTTATAAGCTCCTGTGCGAACCGTGTTGCGCAAGGCCATCGGTCGATTTGGCCCTCGCATCCTTGCATACTGCAACCAGGAATCTTGGGGTCGCCTGGCCTTTCTTTCCGGCCAACTTGGCAGCTCTCTTCGAGCCAGACCTTGATGAGCCCAACGAGCACGACACGGCTAGACCTGTGCGAGTGTCTTTTGCGGTGCTTATTCCTAACTACCCGCCAGAGCTGGGACAGGTCGACCTTGAGCTACCCTGCACGCCAGATGAAGCAATTGAGGCTATTCAGGCTGCTCGCCCAACCGCGTCATATATCCGCTTCCCTTTTCTCACCCCTGCATCACCACAGTCTGTGGTTGGACACGCAGTTGTCCTTGCAGCTCCGAGATGGGCGCCAATGATTATGACGGTCCTGATTAACACGTCCGGCATAGATGGTCGCGTTTTTGCCTGCCATGCCCCTGACTACGCGGACTGCGAAGTCCTTATTGCACTAGCCGACTTGCCACCGCAAGGGGACTACCACATTTTTGCAGGTGACGACGACCAGCCACTGGACGACGGTGCACAGGCACATTTGTTTCCGGGCATCCAGATCTCTTTTACGTTTGCTGACCAGCAACCTGTAGTTGGGCTGCCTTTTGCCAGGACCCTGTTGTTGCCTGCCTGATGCCTGGGGCCACGACACGCCCTTCCCCCAAGTAGTCATCGACCACGCTTACTGTGTCGTGCACGAGAACCGGTTTGTTCTCCACATCGAGAACTACAGGAACCCCTTCCGTTTTAGGATTAACTTGGCACGCAGGATCGGTGTCGATGACAGGCGACTTAGTATTTGCCATGCACGCCGAGCTCCTGACAACATTGCGGTCGAGGGCGTTCGGTGTCGAACACTCTTAGCCGCCTGCCGCCATAGCCAAGAGAGCATCGGCCGTGAGCCTGAAGGCTTCCTCCTTGACTTGCGGCCAATCCAGGAAGGTTTTGCCTTTATGCTTCTGCAAGGAGAAAGCCCCGATCTTAACAGTCTTGCCCGGATCTTCCAGACTGATGCGCCCCAGGGATGGATGCCTCGTTTTAGCAGCGAACACCAACCCGACGGTCGCCCAATTTTTGATGCAGGCTCTGTCATCATCGTTGACTACATGCCTGTACCTGCACCCGCTGAGGCACCCTCTCTTGCGCATGAGGGAGCGCAGGGCAACCCTGCTGCCGCACACAACGGCGCGGCAGGATCACAGAACCCTGTTGGCGCGCCCGCTACTGCATCTGGGCAAGGGGCACAAGGGAACGATGGAGAGCCACCGCACAGCCCTGACGGTGAAGCTGCTGGCCGAGTATACCCTGGTCGTTCTAATGCAACAGACACACTTGTGCCTGGCGTCTTTTTAGTGCTTGCCCAGGACTATACTGCCGAGCTTATTGAGGCCCGGGTACCTGTTGCGACCCAACCGGCCGTGGCGCTTCTTTATGTGTCCCAAGTACGTAACAATCGAGACCGCGAGAGATTCCCCATCTTGTGTGCCGTTGAGCCCCAACCGCTTGGAGCACAAGCCCTTCTTCTTGCATTGCCACTATGGGCACCTGACGGGGCTATCGCTGCCTTTGACCTTACAGGCGTTGACGGACGGTTGTTTGCACTCCAGATTGGGTGTCGTGTCACGCGCGCCGGGCTCCTACAAGCTGCTGAGTTGCCTGACGACCCGCGCTTTGATGTGTTTGTCGGCACGATGCCATGGGCGATTCCGCCCACCACGCCTGTCGACATCAAACACGGCGACCTGGTTCAGATCACCTTTGCAGGCCGTTGGCCATCTGTTGTCTCTTCCTTTGCCGACATGTTGCGGTCCGAACGCGGTTGGAATCCGGACCTCACTTTCGTCCGCGCTTTCTCAGGTTGGAATCTCGACGATGCCTGGGTCCTGAACGAGGACCGCCCTTTTCTGCTCCATGTATCGGCGGCAAGGCGAAGATATGTACGCCAAGACCTGGCTCTCCGCCTTCGCATCCCGGTCGACGAGCTCATCCTTCGCCCTCCACAACCTCGAATCGTTGACTTCTCTCATTGCGGATGGGTGACCTGCAGTGTTTTGTACGCTGCTGGTACCGCCAATGGCCAGCATTATGCAGCAACTAGGGATCCCTTCTGCTTCGTCGACCTGCGGCCTATCCTGAGAGGTCTCGGTGTTGTCACGTGTCCTGGAGGGCGTCTTGACCTTCAAGGTCTCTACGCCCGAGCCAATGCCCGGTGCCCCCAAGGCTTCTGCACCCATATCTGGTACGGCCAGCAGGAGGTTGACCCGTCTAGGCTCGACATACAGGTTGAGGACGGCACTGTGTTCACTGCCGCCTTTTTGCCAGTTCAACACCCGAGCACTGCAGGGGCCCAGGGGCCCCCTGACGACGGTTTCGGCCCATCCCCCCAAGCGGTGACCCTGGGCCTATTCCGGAAGCACCGCCCAGCCCTGATGCCGGCACTGGCAGCTCATGCCTTGTGGACGGCTTGACCCTTAAAAGGGTTGCTACCTCAAAAAGCAGGCCTTATATAAGGGTCATTTGGCCTTTATAGGTCATTTGGGGATATAGAGGTCATTTGAAAACAAGGAAATTGTATGTTCGAGCAAGGCACACACAATTATGAGGGACACCTTTGTGCACAAAATTGCACAAAGCGAAGTTGCCGAAAGCTTTCATACAGCTGCAGCTGTCCTTGGACAAATGAACATCGAAACTTCTAAGCAGAAGCTTGAGCCAAGCAAATGAGCAGCTTGAGCCATTGTAAGGTTTAGGATATCACCGAAGAGCATCGCAAGCACCAAAACTTCGAAGCAGAAGCTTGAGCCAAACAAATGTATATTGAGCCATTATATAGGGTTTAGGATGTCATCAAGAGCATCGTGAGCATCCAAATTTCAAGAGCATCGCGGCCACCCAAATTTCAAGAGCATCTGAGCCTGCATGGAGGCTTGAGCCTTTGAGCCAATGACATTAGGGTTAGGGCGTGTGTATAAGGACATTAATTTATATAAGGGTGCCGGTCTTTGGGGTGCGAGGGATTAGGTTCGTAGAGTTGGGAAACCCACACCCGAAAGACAGCACAGGACCCGGAAATCCCTGAATTCCCTGAAGCCCTCGAAGGCTTGGACACCTCTCGATCTTTTCACACATACTTCAGAAGCTCGGTTTTGAGGGTCACAAGATTCCTCCGCAGCACATTGCAGGAGGCGTTTGCATGCGAGCACTTCCTGAACATCTTCATACACCATCGAACGAAATCTTCGTCTATAAAGCAGGCGTCGTACGCTGGATTTCGTCTTCCACCATGACCTTCTAAAAGGTGTTGTAAGTAGTGGAATTTCGGCCTTGTCTTGTAGAGAAGCTCACCTCTCTGGTTTGCGGTGGCCGCCAGCTGCAGATATCCATTAAAAAAAAGCCTCGCAAGCACTGAAATCTGCGCCCATGCCTCCTCAGTTAAGAAGCAACCACAAGTGAAGAGAAACTCGCAGATATGATTGGCCACCCACACAACACCTTCCAAGCCTTGGTGGGGCGGCAGCGGTGGCATCTCCACTAGTGTTTTCGCCAGCCACTGTAAGAAAACAGCAGTGTCGGCTGCAGAACCTTTGAATTCAGGACAATCAGACCATCCCAGGGCATTCTTCGAAAGCTTGCTGATCGAAACTTGTTTTTTGTTCTGCTTCGCGAAGACCTTGACAGCTGTGATGATTTGTTGCAATCTGGCATTGATATTTCGGCCGGCAAACCAGTGTTTGCTGGAAGCCATGATTTTCAAAGCTGAACCTACCAGGTCACGGCCAACACCCAAGTGAAATGTGTGCATGTAGTCAATCCGCACCATGGATAGCGTAAAGTAATGTAGCTTTGCAAAAGCAGGCTCATCTGTCCACGGCAGCGGACAGTGGCCATCAAGATGCATCGTTCCCCGCCACCCAGCTGTTTCTGAAACATCGGTATATACAGTATCAAAGTTCTGTCGTCCCATGCTGGCCTCGCAGAAGAAGCAAACCTGCATTGGATAAGAATAGAAGCACAAACTGAATTAAATGAGCTCTCAAATGCCCGAGCTTCCGCGCTTATAGTGGGTGTATAGACATAGCCTGATTATGGGAATCGTAAGTTATAACCCTAAACCTTATAACCCTAAACCCTATAAGGTTTATGTAAGCCAAGCTAAAAGCCCCAAAAAGTCGAACAACGAAAGATTGTGCCATGTGCGTGCTCGCTCTGCACCTGCTCCGATCCCGGCTTCCGGGTGAAGTTGAAGGCCTGGACCATCTGTTTCATGTCGCCTCTGAAACCAACTGGAATGAAATAGTATACCTGATCAGGGAGGGTTCGGGTCTTACAAAATATAGAGAATTGCGGGTTTGTGGGGTACGGGTTGTTTACACACAAAAGGCCTCGCCGCCCACCTCCACACCTTCTGTGCTCAGCTTATTGCAGTCAGCCACGATAGCCGCATTCAGGGTCTGAAGTGTTACATTCGTCTTGCCCCGCATGAGGTAACTGTGCACCATGATTGAATACATGATGTTGCGGGAAGCTTTGGAGTCCGTGCGGCATTCGGAGAGGTCTGCTGTCCTTACATTGCAATCAGAGATTTGAAAAACGTTCATAACACGAACCCTCTACTTAACTGTCAAGCAAACTAGGCGGGATAAGTCAAAGTTCCACGAAGCCAACATCCATGAAGAACGGTTGAGGGTTGCCTCATCGCCCCAGATCACTATAGGAATGGCCCGATGGTACAAATCAGGGCGGCCATCCAACAAAGGAACAGTCAGCTCTTGCAGTGTTGCCTCCCAATACTTCTCCAGGGCAGCTGCGTCGGGGATCATCGTCTTCAAGAAGCCCTCTTGCACAAGGCACCTCGCCTTGGATCGGGCTTTGGGGTTACAGTCCAACACATTAGTTTAAACAGAGGCTCTATGTAGGCTCAGCATTTGTCGTCATCGTACTCAAATTTAAAAGAACAGCTATACTGTATACCATATAACATCGATCAACGAGGCTGGAAGGAAGAAGAACTGGGGATGCTTCGATAATCTCCTCCCCCATCTTGTTCTTTGCTGGGGCATTTATCCATGTGAGCTCGCAGTCGAAAGCCAGCCCTGTTCCAGATAATCGTGAATGCAGCTCGGCCTCTCGTAGGGGCCTGCTGCTGTACCCGTCCAGTACTCGAGATCCATAAGCATCTCCTTGAGTTTGTGGGTTGGGTTTCGATTGTACGGGTATTTCTTTAGTGCTTATCGGTAGTCTTGATGTTAAAGCCAGAACCCCAGTAAGATTGCCAAGGCACCCAGGTCACAAGCAACGGTCAAAGACGTGTCACCAGCACACGTAGCTCGAAGAAGCCTCAGCAGGGCAGTGAGTTCAGGCTTCTAAGTTGGGTTTATGTGAAATTTTCGGTTGATAGGGATTGCAATAAAGCATGAAACCGACAGGAAAGTCACTGCGTGTCTACAGGGTTTGGCGGTTATAGGTTTGGATATTCAAAGCAAGTAGCTTCCGGTCGAGGACATCGGCGATCCGAGGCGGTGCTGCTTTTGGAGTGGCACCTGCAAAGCACAGAGCACTTGAAATCAGTGATTTGTGAATTTGTGACCATCAGGGATCTTTGGATAGCATAGAGCAGCTTTCGAAGGATTCTTTTGCCCCCAGCCCTTTGCTTGGTTCGAGGTTGCACTGTTGCACAGCAGCAATGAANNGTCGAGCATCCAGCATGCACCCTTTTGGCGCACAGCCTCGTACCCGAAGCCCCGGTAGCCCCCTGCACTATGGAGACAGCTCCGCAATTCCTTGCAGAGGTTCCCCCTGCAAGAGGATCCCACATATGCTTCAGCCGTGCACAAGTAGAAAGCCAAGACCCTGTAAGGATTGAAATATATTGAAACCGTGTAGGCAATTATATCCTACAAACACCCAGGCTACGTGTGAAAACTTCACTGCTGCATGGTGTGCTAGCTACACAGCATGTGCACGACCCGCATATACCAGTATTGCGATGTGGTCCATGCAGAGAGACCGCATCCTCATGATGTCACCGGTACACCGTCAACTTGGATTTCAGAAAAGGGCCCAGGCATGCAGTAGGAGGATTTGGGGTGGTAATTACAAGTTCGTATGATGCACCATGACCCGGAAAATCACATCAGGTAGCCATCTTGTTGAGCTCCTTCAGCAGGCCTTTGATTTGCCCTTTGCACAAAGAAAGCTGTTGAACCTTGGCTCCCAAGCACCCGAAGCTCACTAAGCCCGCAGACCAAAACCACATTCAACAGCCCCAAACACACTCATCGATATCCAAGGCAACTTCCTCGTGGATAACATCACACTGGCGATCCATTTCGACGGCCTCGGCTTCCGGGTCGACTTTGTAGAACCTCGGTGCAAATAGATCCAGTTAAGTAGATCATGCAAAGATGTGGGATGGGAAGTTGTGTCCAATGGTGCAGAAATCAGCTAGTTTAGATTGGTGACTTCTTTGCAAGCTGATCCAGCTTCTTCTTGTGACCCTTCAGATCTTTCAGCAATCTCTGTGAGTCAACATCAGAAGCATCACCCATATCATAGATGAGGTCCGTGATGCCGTTGACATTCTTCTTGAGCTCCTTGCCTTGCGTGACACGAAGGGTACATTTAAGGTTTAGGTTTAGGGCTTTAGGGTTTAGGGGCTAGGGGAAGACCACGACGATGACCCAACGACGACACAAGACAATCCTAAGTTGCAAACTAGCAGCACCACTTGCTGTGCTTGTCTTTCGGGCACTTGAAAACCTCATTGATCAAGGAGCTGCCTTTCACAGTCGTAGCCGT